TTGGAGTTAGGATGTGAAACATTTACTAGAATGGAAGCCACACACATGTTTTCAGATATTTACAAAAGCTGGAAATGTCTGGCTCCTTTTATTTTTTCTCAACCATCTGCTTTAGTTTCTCCTCCTTTACATTCTTATGTCACAGCTGCAAAGTAAAGAACCAGACAGTAACTTAAATTAAAATTAAATAAAAATTAAAGCCTCAAGTTTAAAAAAAACTCAATTCCAGTTCATTTTCCCTAAAATGCAAATACCCATAAATTAAAAATACAGCTTTGGAGTAGACAGTAAGAAGTTTTCATGACAGTATTAGCGTTCATGGCCAAAATCACCTTTCTGAGTTCACACAGTTACAAAATAGATGGAAGTTATTTTGGGAAACATATTTATGGCACATAAATTGGTGCTAAATTGATTTATTCAGACAACTACAGTATGTGATTCCTACTCTAATTAAAGTTCACATCAGGCTAAGATAATGAGTTGTTGTGTTTGTGAATGTGCAATTAGAGTCTTCCTGATAATTATAGGTTTTAAAATCATACTTTTAAGCCCCCTAGCTTGTTCATTCGTTATAGTCACAGGCTGAAATGCTGTGAAAGAGTCAATTCAGCCTGGCTCAGCTATTTGTATCTTTATTTCTTTTCATACATAGCCTATGTTTTTGCTTTGTGCACACCTATGCTCCCAACTGCGGGTCCGGTCTTAGCTCCTTTTAACATGTCTTTGTCAGAAAGTCAATGAATATCTAATCTTCAAACCCAGTGTAAAAGCCTCTTGTGGCCCACACCGTTGTCCTGAAAACTCCTAGCAGCATGTACCTGAAGAAAAAACTGGCATTAGCAGCCTTCATGTGTTAATTACACACGCAAAGCCTATTATGCACAGAAAGGGCACCTGCTGGCAGTGAAAATGACTAGAATCTGCCCTTCCTGTGCAGTGAGTAAATTGAAGGTTCACTTCTACAGGAGATAATAGTTTTTAGATTCCATTCCGTGTATCCCCGACATGGGCATGTACTTAACATTTAAATAATCTGCAGAGGAACAAACCTCCTTTAAATTTACATGTTTCAGGCTTCTAGCACTTCACTTAAAACACTAGTTATCCCCGCTGGTTCCTTACTTAGAAGCACTCCATAGGCTTTTGCTAAGAATGTGGAGAAAAGTCACAGAAAAGAATATAATAAAGCTATTAGCATAGACTCGTTTCTTGAGATTTATGGATCCTGATCGAAGCCACAGAAGTTAGCTTAAAGTAATAAAACTCAATTTTGATTAGATTATCTGTTTTTCTCAATAGCAGTATTTTTATTTAACCATCATTGTATTTTCTGTTCTTTAAGTTGTCAAATACACCCACTGATTTTTTTGGCTGCAACACATTTACTGGTGAAATGTCAAAAAACCTCATTAAAACAGAAAAAAATATTGAGCACAAAACCATGTAAAGCCACTGATGGATGCATGCTTAATCTAAACAGTAGCACAGTTCTAACCACTACTTATTAGATATGTATTTCATTGTATTTTATTTCAGGAATTGTAGATAGGTATTTTGTGGCAGACTATGTGGTGCCGTTAGTCTGAGTGTTCCTTCAGCAAGTGTGTTTAACATGCACTTCTTCCTATGACTCTCATGCATGATATGCATACTTAGAGTGTCTAGGCTATTATAACTGAATATATATTGTTTCAAGCACAACACTTAAGGCAGGTCAGAGAGAGTAGAGACCGATTTTTGAGTGAAAATATATTCCACACTGTTCTGTGGCTATGTAGCGTTTGGGATGACACTATTCATATGAATTTACGTGAACAGGAACAGTTCTTAATTCACAACCCTCCCCAATCACACAGTGAATATGACTTTTGACTTTCAGCATTAAAACTGAAGGATTGGCAGCATCTCTACTGGAGGTCCCAATCAGGGTTAAGTAGGCACTTTTCAGCATATACATTTTTATTCACAACATCCCCAGTTCCTGTGCCCCTTCTTGTTAGTTTCACATCACTCCCTGGTGTGAAATTAACATGGAGCAGGACAAAGCTAAGTAAGAATGGGAAAGGGGAGTGATTAGGAGCAGCATGAACTTAACAGGCAAGCTTTAGGTGTGTTGCCAGTTTAAAAGAAGCCAAATTGCAGAAGCTTGTCTTAAAACGTGGCATAGTATGTGACCATGGAGTCAAAGATTATATCATAATGCATAGGCACAAGGGGGCCAAATTAAAATTGCACAAATCTTGCATTTCCTAATTTTTGAGAGTTGATTTTGCAAGCTTAACAATGTTCTTTTAACAGCTTTTGTAATAATGTATATAGTGCTCACAATGTGCTAGATACTGTACTGACATAAAGAAAGACAGTTCCTGCCCTAAGAGCTTAACTTGTACACAAGCCTGGAACTCCTTATGCTATTCGGCTCTCTCTGTGCCCTCAATTACTTCAGCCATCCTTCTGCCTGCTTTTGGAAAGAGTATCACTGTCTCTGTGCACTTGCTGACTAAGACAGTTAACCAGAGGTCTCAAAGTCCCAGCCCGTGAGCCATCTGTGACTCGAGAACCTCCCCACTGAGGCCCACGGAGGAGAGATGCATGCAGACACGCTGCTGGCAATGTCTGCTGCAGGCGCCACCCACCGCAGCTCCCATTGGCTGGGGGAAAGGGACAGAGATAGCATCACTAGTTGCCGGGCACAGTCAGCCCTAGAGGCAGCATCATTAGTTGCCAGGCAGAGTCAGCCCTGGAGGCAGCGTCACTTTTCTCCCCATAACGAATATAAACCAGTCAAAATACCAAACACAACTATCTGATGCACACCTTGCTGCAATCCTGAAGGTTTCAATTGTTCAGTCACTGAGGGCAAACATCGACAAACTGACAGAACTGAAGCACTGCCAGGTGTCTGGCAAACACTAAAAACTCTCTGGCAGGCGAAGAATTATATGAAGTTGTATGACAGTTTTATTATTTCTAAGAAATTCAAAATAAAAAATACAATATAAACGTTTTCTTTTCTGAATACCATCTTCAGTGACCTTATTGGCCCGGCGGGAGGATTTGAGGACTGGCACTGGCCCTAAGGTAAATTGAGTTTGAGACCCCTGTTGTTAACGGTACTCCTCCCTCACACTCCTCAAGATCAGGTTCAGATTCCCACCAAGTCATCCAAGACCAGGTAACCCCAACACAATAGTCGCAATAGCCCATCTAATTTTTCAAGTTAAAACAAAGTTTATTGGTGTGAGATACAAAATAAAAGGGGAATTGCAAACAAAATAAGAGGTCATAAATAGACTATAAATACTGTGAGACCAACTTCCATGAGAAGTGTAGCTATCTGGGCTCTGTGCTTTTTGACCGGCATTAGTTAACAATGAAGAAAACCTTACATATTATACATGTCTTTGTATTCCTCGGCTGTTGCAAATGTTCTTGTAAACCTTGTCTGCACTAAGAATTGTACCGGTTCCTGACAGTAGATGTTGTCTGCAACAGGGGTAGCTGAACCAGAACTTAAAAAACAACATACATTCAACTGTGACGGTTGACAGGACCAAATAATGTTCAGCACATTTCCAAAACCATTGCTGGGGCATGCTCTTTGCGATAGGAGAATAAATAGCTTCCTTCACAAATCCTGAAGCTGCCACTAAGGGTCTGTCTATATGGCAAAAATAATCCTGCAGCAGCAAATCACAGAGCCCAGGTCTACAGACTGGAGCTCATGCTATGGTGCTAAAAAATAGCCATTAGATGCCCCAGCTCAGCCTGGAGCTTGGACTCTGAAACTTATTTTCTTCCCCAGGCTTCAGAGCCCAAGCTCCAGCCCAAGCTGGAATGTCTACATGGCTATTTTTAGTGTCATAGCATGAGTCCAAGTTTATAGTCCCAGACTCTGATACTCGCCACTGAGAATTCTGGGGGTTTTTTTGGCCATGTCGGTGTACCCTAAGGTCAACTGGCATATAGAATGACTTTCTAATGAAGAACAGATTTGATAGTTATACTCCACCTCCCACATGCACATGCTAGACCATTTTAAAAACATTATTTTCTGCCACATCTTCTTCACTGAGGGCAATGATCGTTTGTGTAGAAACCTACATATTTGTTTTGTCAAATGATAAGAAAAGGGCCTGGGGATTGAAGATTTAATGGAGTCTTTCCTATAAGAATGTACTAAGGGCCCTTCTAAAAATCTAGAACAGTGCTTGAAATGTTTCTTTGTATGGATATATAGCAGGCAGCTGCTTGGCAAGCATCCTGTGTGCATTGTCACTGTAAATGAATGTATTCTTAATTTGACCCAAGTAAAAGTTTTGGTTGACAGATTAAATAATGAAGAAAAATGCAAATGATTCCAGGCTGAAACTTTCTAGCTTGATGGGAAATTGGTGTGAGTAGCAAAGAGCATCTTGGGAGTTACAGGAAAGCTTACTGAGTTCACATGTGGGAGCACCCAGTGTCAAAGAATTCCCGCTCTCTTTCCCTTCCGTAGGAAGCTATAACTCCATGCTAATGGAGCAGGAGAGACAGAAAATGTTTACACCCTCTCCCAAATATCATGTCAATTTCTAAATTCACACAGCACAATAGAAGGTTGTAACAGGAAAGCACCAAAGAAAAAATAAACTGACAAATCAGGAAAGCAATGGGAAAATAGGAGTTATCTGTTTCTACCTGTATCATTTATTTTTGGAGTCTTCTTGATTTAAAATGTAACAGTCAAACAAAATCTATGCTGTAATAGTGAATCTTGCAGATCTAAAATTAGTATATAGTAACATTCTGTAATAATATATCATGTTAGCGTAACTAATAAGACTGGTGCTATTATATTATGCTATGAAAACAATGTATTTGACTTACTGAATCAACTACTTATTTAACATACACATATAAATTTTTAGATTAACAGTTACACCATAAAAACACTTAAACCTTAAAATGCAGAGATTCATAAAACTGTTGCATATCTAAGTGATCTACAGTCTTACCAGCAGTAGTCCAATAGATGCGGGGGCAGAACAGGAATGTAAACATGTTGCCAGAACATTGGGTAGAGCATAGCTGCAGACCCATGAATGCAGGCAGTTAACTGAAAGATATAAATCAAAACAAGATCATAAATAAGATAAAACCTAAGCTTAAAAGAAATGGCTGGCCAAATAAACAAATAAATCATAAAATAAAATAAAATAATCTGTTAGAAGTAGCAACTGGTTTGGTCTCTGAAGATTTGACTACAGAACATACATTGCACTGGTAACAAATGCTAGTGACGGGTGGAGTAATTCTGGTTCATGATGACTGTTGTTTGACTTAATTTTGTTAATATCTGAGAGTATATTTCGCCCAACACACACAATCTGAAGACAGCATTTCACATCTTCCTCAAAGCAACAGAAGCAGAATCAAAATCGGGGGCAGAAGGGAAGAGGGAGGAAATAAAAAAATGGCAGAAAAAGCCTGATTCTGGCAATTTCCACCTAGTGAGGAGCTTAGAGATGTAATGAAACAACGGTATAAATATTAAGGAAGAAAAAAAAATATGTTACCTCAATAGTACAGTAGGAACTTGGGACTAATGAATCGTAAACAGCATGGGTTTCTCTAAAACAATTCCCCCCCCAAGCAAATTGATCATTTTGGCTAGAATTACTGAATAAATGGGTGAAAGAGTCTGTGTTCCTGGACTTCAGCATTTGATCTACTGACTCTCACAATTTTTCATTAAAAGTTAATTCAAATTGGCTTGGACACTGACACAAACTGAGAACTAAAGATAAATGGCAATGAAATTGTGGGAGGTGCCTAATAAGGTGCTGGAGGAGTTGATTTGGGTCCCAACCTTATTTAAAATCTTAATTAATAACCAGAAAGAGAATGTGAAATTTACTGAAGGAATTAAAATGGGAGATCTTGTGAACCCCTAAACGGACAGATACTTAAAAACACAAGGAAGCAGAAAGGGTCAAAATACTGCATGAGCAGGCAATAATATTAATATTTAATTAATAATTATTAGTATTTGTATTACTATAGCACCTAGGAACCCTAGTCATGGACAATCATCCCACTGTGTTAGACACAGTGCACACACAAAACAAAAAGTCCCTGGCTCCAAAGAGCTTACAATCAAAGAATCAGAGAAGAGACAACAGAGGCATATAGACAGACAGTGGTGTCCAAGGAAACAATGAGACGGTATTGGTCAGCATGGCAGGCAGTGAATGAATGGATTTACCCTGGGAAACAAAGATAATGTCACGTACCTTGTGAGTACATACCTAGAATAATGCTCAGCTTGGAGTATAAGAAACAATTTAAATGAAATTAAAAGAAATTCAGGAAAATGTTTAAAGGAAGGGAGGAACAGACTTCTGAGGAAAGATAGAGTCAAATACATACAGTTTGACTAAATGACGACAAAGACAGACAACACTCTCTATGTATATCTAAAAGGTGTAAACTCCAAGGACATGCAGCAGTTTAGGGTGACCTACAGACATAATAGGATGAAATAAAACAAAGGAAATGTCAGAATGATCATTAGGAAGCATGACTTAGCTGTGGGACTTATTAGGTTGCAGTGTAGTCCCCAGAAGGCAGTGGAGTCATTTGCAACTGGACAAACCACTGAGATATATACTGTACCACAGGGAACCAGTGACTGGCAGAGGAAATGGTCTAGGTGAGCTAACAGGTCTTCGTCTCTAATGTCAGTTCTTAAACTAAGACTTATCCTGCAACACAACAAGGCACAACAGGCTGCCCCATCAGGATTCCATGTTGGGGAAATAAGTCTCAATTGTGAATCTAGTTTCTGTGGTTCATGCCAGAGCCTTTAATGTATTTTCAATCCAGTTTTTGTTGGCTTGTTTTAACACATGGATAACTGTTAGTATGTGAACAACAAAACCTGTTTTTGGAGTTAACGTGTGTCTGATTGGGCGTCAAGAATGAAGACGGACTATATTTTAAACACATCTTATTTTTAGCCCATGAACTAAAACCTACTGAAGTCTAGGGATGAAACAGACCTGGATAAGCTGCGAGGATACAAGAAGAAATACTGAGATTCTCTGGAAGGGAGTCAAGGCTCTTTGCACCATGATACAGCTACACAGAACCAGTAGTTTTACATTTAATGGCAAAAATGTAACCATTAAAGTGAATAAAAATAGATTTTACAATTTACTCCTCAAAAAACAGATGGTTTTTCCCCTCAATTTTTTAAAAATCACTCCCAGGCTGGTAACCTTGTATGCCACGTATAAGCCCACAGTTGACTTTTATGACTGAGCTATATACCACTATGTTAGAAAGCCAGAGCCTTAAGATATATACTATAGCTAGAGGAGAGATGTTAGAATATTTAGTATTATTATATTTTAAAAAAATAGATAAATAATCTACCATAGTTACAGAAGCCAGTACTGTACTGCAACCCTGTGAAAAGTATTTGCCAATCTCATGGAATATTAATTACTGCCTGATTATGCCATTAGATAGCCATCTGATGTGATTATTAGGGCCTCAGGCTCTCCATTTCATAATATATTTACATTGGGATTCAGAGACTTATTGCTGATCACAACATCAAGAAGGGTTTCCCTAAACCTCTCACTGCTAGAAGCTGGGACTGGACGATAGGGGTGGATCACACGACAAATTGCTCTGTTCAGTTCATTCCCTCTGAAGCATCTGGCACCAGCCACTGTCAGAAGATAGGAAACGGGCTAGATGGACCATTGGTCTGACCCAGTATGGTCATTCTTACGTTGTTAAGGGTTACAGCAATTAGGTGAAGGAGGGAAACTCACCATTTTCTATAATATTTCTGATAACTAAGACAAGAAAATATCTAAAAAGCAAATTCTAATAGTATGCAAAACCTGGAAAAGGAGGTGGGAGGATTTTCTTGTCCCCTATAAATGACACAATGGGAGAGGGTTAATCTTAAAATATGACTGAACCATACAGAAAACAATTGATTCTTTGGGATGTAATCGGCACAAAAATCCAAGGGTCCAAAACTTATTTGGTGTATCACACAAGAGTAATAACGTAACAGTTTTAACAATGTTTATGAGGGTATCACTTAGCGGTGTCTGACCTCTGCTTCAATGTTTAGGCCTCTATATTCTTTTTACCCTTTTTGATGCTGCATTGCAGCCTTGTTTACATCTCAAGGCAGAGATGGTTCCTGGGATGAAATGACAAGCCAGTTTTTAACACTGCCTTTATTAGGCTGCACCCCATGAAGACTGCTGCTTTTGCTTTTCTATGTAGGTTTATATAAGGTCACCTCTTATGTGGTATCTGTGAGTTTCTGAATGTCAGTAACTTGCCTTTATTAACAGAGGAACATGTGTATACAGGAAAAGCGAGGAGTCAAAAGCCCTAGCTACAAGAATTCTTTTCGTTACTGTGCCATGAGCATCTCCAGTTTGGAGATTTTCCAAGTGTAACCAGTTTATTGTAATCTCAAAACCCTTCTTTCCTGTTAACTTATTTAAATAGATACGATGCTCTTTGTGGATGGTGCATAGTGTTATTAAGAAAGAAAAAGTGGAATCCATAGTAAACACTCACTGTATTGGTTAAGTTCTAATTCTTAAAAATGTTCTTCAGTAACATGGGTTTGTCTGTCCCTGTACTCGTCTCCGTATGCCTGTTTCCTATCCTGCCCACATTTTGTCAATTTACCTGTTCTGTTCCTTATGCACCACTCAAAACAAGACATTTAGGGGAAAGCACTATTCTAATACTAAGAACTTTACGTAGTCCTGAAATGTACAATGCACTTGTAAAAACATACAATAAGACACTCTCTGCTCTCAAGAGCTCACAATCTAACACAGCATTTCACAGCCAAAAGGGGTTTTAAAATTATTGTTAGACTGTGATCTGTATCACCCTTGTATGGTGACCAGATCTTCAAGTATACGCATCTGCATTCATTTCTCTTGTGCTGCTCTGCACAGATTGGTAGGTTCACGATTATGGTAAAACACAGTTCTCCTTTGCAAACATAAGGAAAAAAAATTTAAATTAGTAAATGGAGGAAACTGAAGATTTGGAGGTTTGGTCCAGACGCTTGACAAAAGCTCTTGGATATGGAAACTGGAATAGAATAGAAAACAGGCTTTTAAGCAAGACTGATGTTCAGATACTATAAATACAGATGTAGCTAGTTTATAGATTTTTAGTACTTCCTGGGCTGTTTTAGATAATACAGCAAGAATAATGTTTCCAAGTCTATTTCCACTTCTGGACCCAAAACAGGAAGTGCAATTATCCCCTCACCCCTCATATCACACTTATTTGAAAAAAAATCAGGAGCAGTTAAATATTTAGGTTTGATTCAAGTTTTGACCAAAGGGTTTGGGTTACTTTTTCTGGACCCATTCACCCATCCCCAATTACAGGTTGCAAGCTAAGAGAAAGTTACTCACTTTGCAGTAACCAAAGTTCTTCGAGATGTGTGTCCGTGGGTGCTCCACTCCAGGTGATAGTGTGTCCCAGTGTCGTTGATCAGAGATCTTTGGTAGCAGTGCCTGGCCAGGACAAGCGTGCTCAGCTGCTGTCTCGCAGTCTTGTTCGAGTGTGCCTGGACACACGCGTCCCACGTCCCCCTCAGTTCCTTCTCTACTGTGGAGAAGTCAGTATAGAACTCCAAAGTAGTGGGGAGGTGGGTGGGGAGTGGAGCACCCACCCGGACCCACATCTTGAAGAACTTCAGTTACTGCAAGGTGAGTAACTTTCTCTTCCTCTTTGAGTGCTGTCCCTGTCAGTGCTCCACTCCAGGTGAATGTGAAAAAGTACCCGCTAAGGCTGGTGGGACTTTGGAGTTGCAGCAGTGAGTACTGTAGACAGTACTGTGTGGCCCACTATGGAGTCTGCTGTGGTATCCTGTGTGATAGCATAGTGTTTAGTAAATGTGTGTTCAGAGGACCACGTGGCCGCCTTACAGATATCAGGAATGGGTACATTATGGAGGAAAGCAATGAATGTTGACATGGCTCGAGTAGAATGAGTTCTGATGCCTTCGGGCAGTTGAGCATTTTGAATGCGATAACAGGATCTGATGCA